GGCTGGGGAGCAGCGGCCGCACCCGGTGCCGCCCCTGGGGCCACGCGGGTTTGGGGAAGACTCGCGGGTACCAAGATGATCCTCTGGGAAAAGGCTGTGTCGCTGCAGTGCCCCAACACACGAGGCCCTGCAGAGCTCCGCCAGGCCTCAGGAAACAAAGCAGACTCTTCCTGCGTTAGAGAGGGCTGCTCCCTCCCTGTCACCCGAGCGGCGCTGGCTTGTGACGCCCCTACGGGGGACAGTCCCCGGTAGTGGGGCTGCCCGGTGCTGGCAGCTCAGCGTGGCCACCCCGCAGCCCTCACGGTGCCCCTGTCTCGCCAGGCGACCGAGCTGCTGGAGGCCATCCTGGAGGGGTACCCCAAAAGCAAGAAGCAATTCTTCGTAAGTACCGAGGCCGGGCTCGGCCCCGCGGCGGTGGTGGCTCTGCCGGGCCGGGGCCCCCACCCTGCTGACACCCTGTGCTTGTACAGGAGGAGGTTGGGATAGAGACGGACGAGGACCATAACGTCACGCTGCCAGCGGCTCTGTGAGGCGCTGAGGGAGTCTTTGCCCCAGGGAGGAGAAGGAGCTGATGCTGAGACTCAGCTGTTGGGTTGTTTTGGGTTTTTTTTTTTTCCTCTTTTGCAGGGCTTGGGCTGGTCCTGCACATTTATATGCGTTTGTTTTAAAATGCTTTGCAGCTGGAGGGGTGCTTGGAGCCAGTGGCTCCATTCCCTCTCAGTCTCACTCGCAGAGGGAATGTTATTTCTTCCTGCCCTTCAGTGCGGCGAGCTGTTGAGGTCAGGTGTCCTCATGGGGCGGTGCAGGGGAAGGTGTCAGTACGGGTGTATCATCTCAGCTGCTTCCCACAGCATGACTCAGTGGTACACAAGAATATGATCCATTAAACACCCGGCTTTTGGTTCAGCTGTGCTTTGCTGTGGCGTTTTTCTCTGTTCAAAGGGTGTCAGGGCAGGGTTTGGGCACTGGGTCGCAGCAGCCCTGAGGGGTGGGGAAGGCAAGAGCCAGGAGAGGGTAACCTGCGCCACAACAGCTGAGCGGGGCTGGGCTCCCAGAAACTCTCTCTCCGTCTCTGACCAGCTCTAGGGGAAGACTCCAGGAACTCAGCAACAGAAATAAAAGCAGAAAAAACATTAAAACATTCAGCAAAATTTATTTAATTACTTTTCACAATAGAAAAATACGTCGCTTTCACATGTGAGGTCTGTAAAACTCCACGTCCTCCTAAGGCAGGAGGCAGCTTCTGGCAGAGCATCTCCAGGGGTTCAGTCTGTGCCCCTTGTTCAGCCGCAGAGCCCTAACCCTAACCCGCTCACCCACGAGAGAGGATTTTCTTCATCCCGGAGCAAGATTGTCCAGGAGAGGCACAGCTGACCCTGCGCGTGCTTGATCAGTGACGTGCATCACCGCGGGGTTTGACTCTGGGGCTTCCGTTGCATTGGAAAGGGCACCCAAAGGCAGGGTTTGAAGAATAATTCTGTATAAAAATCTCACACACGCACCCCCCCCGACTGGGTTCTCCACTACTAAATGGGGGTAGAACCAGTAGCTTAAACATTCTCACGCTGCAGCGTTCAAACCATGGAACCTGGAACTGAGTGTAAAATAAATATCCGCTACCCCTGGAGCGGGAGCACGAAGGCGATTACAGAGAACAAATCCTGCTGCTGGCGTCGCCACGCTGGAGGAGCCCCAGTACAATCGCTCTGTGTGGTGAACAACTGTCGCTTGGGCAGCGGCTGCACCACGCCACGAAGCGTTTGTGTTGGCCAGAGCCATGACCCACACTGACAGCAGCAGCAGCATGTGACAGGTTAAAGAAGTGTCCCAGAGAGCACCCGTCTGCAAAGCTGACACTGATAATACTTCAAGATGATTTCAGTGATTTATAAAAACAAAAAAATAAAATCAAATCAGGGCTGGTTATGTCTATGTATGGATCTATATAAACATTCTAAGGAGGAGCAGCGAGCGCCCGTGCAGCACTGTGCTACAGCTACTGAACTACTTCCCTGCTCAGTACAGCCACACCAAAACCCGAAGACAGATGAAGCCAGACACGTTTCCGCACTCGCTCAGGAAAAGCCTGCACAGAAAGCCCACTCCCGTCTCCCTGTCGGGGAACTATGGCTGCAGGGGAAGAGGGAAGG